CTCCCTGGAGCAGCAGAACTGATTTGCTCCAGCTGAGGATCTGGCCCCGCATACGCAGAATATTCTGCATTGTCTCTCCGATGCTTTTTATATGCTGGGGCTTGGTAAAAGTACAAACCTTTCCCTAACAGGAGGAGCAAAAGGCAGATTTCTTTCACTGAGGATTTTTTTTCCTGTATATTTTCTTATAAAGCAAACCAATGGCAAGTCTATAGCGAACGCTTTCTTGGGCTATAAAATTTCCTATTATCCACTTATGTTTTCTTTGCAGTGGGATTTAAGAATGCCTCTTCCTTGAGATGAGTAATATGTCATCATTTTGTTGAACTAACAGGCCTGACAGTCTTGCCTCTCCGAGTTAGACACAGTGCTCTGTGCTCGCACTGATGGTAAAATGAAGGTGAAAAAGCTGGGAGAATAAAAAAAATCAAGGGGAAAATCTAACTATAACTAAATTCTTTACTAATTCATTACCATTATTTATTCTGCTGCAAAAATAAACTATCTGTATTAAAAAAGAACCTTAAATTAAGGTCTCTCTTACTTGCACTACATTTTGAAATAACTTATTTGAATCCTTGGATTATCTATTTTAACAAATACCATCTTCTGTATTCATCATTTCTCCTGTCTTTTTGATCTTTTTTTCTACTTATCATGTTCTTTATTTGAAACAGATTTTTAACAGATAATCTTGATCGTTATAACAATATCTTCCTTGCATTTCATTCAAATAATTCTTAAAAACAGCTTAAAAAGCCGTTTGGAATAACATCAAGCTCTCCATCAATCAAATGAAAAAATTCCGCTGGCGGTTGTATAAACATCAGATCAACTCTGATGTCTTCAAGGATTTCAGAGTGAACCATAAAAAACTCCATTAACTTCTGACAAAGAATGCAAATTAATCACAACATGGGGTGAAATGAAATTAAAGGCTCTTTTCTAATCAATGACAAGGCAGGATGAAATATTTGTTACTCTCCGCGTTCAGGCTGCCGGGATGCTCGCGCTTTCCCCGCACACCCCAAATGCAAGGTGTGAGCACAGATTCACCCAGGGTAGCTGTTTAGCCCTCCCCATCCCTACAGCTATCTGCTTACAAGTCGCCCAGATTCACAAAACACACTAATCATCTGAATCTCAGGTGCATCCAATTTGTTATTCACACTCTCCCGGTGCCAGTGAAAAGCCTGGCGTAGACAGATGCACCAGGAACCTTAAATGACAGTTTTGGCCTCCGGAAGTGCGATCGCTACAGCAAAATCTAGTACAGCCTCCAGGTGAAATGTCTGGAGCTCCATATGGAGCAGGGAAAATTAACAACAAGATGAAAATCGCTGCAGCAGCGGGGAGTCTGAATTTAAAAAAAAAAGAAAAAAAAAAAAAGAAAAAAATTTAAAGATGAGGAAAGAGAAGTAATAAATTAATGGGGTGTGAAAACATTCAAAGCTTTACAATACCAGGGGCAGTATTTGCTCAGATTTGGAGAGGGGGGGAGCAGTGGGATGGGAGGGTGCCGAATGGGGGACAGGATTTTTTGGTGGCTTTTTAATTTTTTTTTTTAAACTTCAGGTCATTTTCATGTAATTTATTAAGCGAGGCCCGGAATTGTAGCCAAAGGAAGGAAAACATTTCTCTAAATGCAGAAGTATCTTAAATACTGTCGTCGTAATCCGCACTTTCCTGTAGCTGATTAAATCCTCGGCAGCTGAGTACTGCCTGTTTCTTTGGAGTATTTCCCTAATGGATGCAGCGTCCTTTTAACATCCTGCTTTGTATAAAGTTTGACTACAAGCCGAGAATATTTAGTGGGCAATTCTTTTCATTTCTCCTAAATTGCATTATCATTAAACAAGTCATTGCCCCATCGTGTTTTTATACAACATACTGAATTTGAATCTACGTGATTAACTGTACGTCTTGCAGTCTGTTCAGCCACTGTACATCTTTGGGGTTCCAACTTAACATTTAATTAAATATACTGTGAGGTGCCATGGCCTTTTGGATTTTTAATTTTTTTTTTTTTTTTTTACAGTTCTTTCTGCACAGACATGTAAAATCAAAATCACATAAATTCAGGTTAAACTTTTAAAAGTAATTTGAAACTTATTGTCCCTACATGCCTTCTTCAGATTCTTAAAAACATGGACAGACTATGGACTAGCAACTGGGTCTGGTGAAATGGGTTTCCTTTCTTTTTTAAATATTTACGTAGGAAAGGCCTTTATTCAAAAGCATCTATTTTTGTGCTTGAGTGCATGCACCATTCCTATTAGTTTTAATAGAATTATGCAAACACATCAGGGAAGAATATACCTTTATGTGCTTATATTTGTATCTATGGAAAATCCTGTGAGCATCATACCCTATCACTTTCAAAAAGAGTTTTACGTTACAGCAAGCAAACAATAGTACATTGCAACATCATGCCAGGAAAACGAACAACAAAACAATAAACCCCATAACTGTTTTAGAAATTTACTTCATCTTAAGGATTAGAGTTTCCTGTGCAAAGTTTTTATAGTGGAAGAGTCTGTTCTGATCATTACTGTTTGTTATTTCCTTGTTCGGATCACTACTTTCAGCAGTTAGCTACAGATTATGAAGTTAGCTGTGTATCAAGACAAAAAAAATTTACAGTAACTCTAAACACACCCATAAGCAACGTTACTTGCATGAGTAGTTGCTTGCACGCTTAAGTGCTTTCAAGATAAGACTTTATTGTGAACAGAAGATTAAATAATGATAGTGTAATGCGTAAGTATTAGCAAAGTAAATATAAACGATGTAAAATATGAGAAGTGGTAAGTCTATCATTAAAATACTCTACTAAAGGCCAGAAAAAAAAAATCATCCTGTAGTCTTACTGGCACATTGCAGGAGTACCAAATTTCCACACTGCAATGACTCCCTCTATAAATCTTATTCATTTAAACTGAATTTGCACACACCATTTGTGTGTGTCTTAGAAACAGAGAAAAAGGGAAAAAAAATTTTTTTTTTCAGCTACAGCTGGAGACAAACATTCATTTGTAGGAAATTTCAGGTGTTCATGTATCCATACTTCCTATTTTCTGAGAGAAGTAACTTCAAGTTATTTAGGGACAAATTCTGCAAACACACATATGATTAACTTCATTCATTGAATAAGCCCACTGAAGTGAGGAGAATTTACTCAAGTAAGTGACTTCAGAATCAGGCCCTTACGTAGAGAGATAAATAGGTACTTAGACATTAAAAATCCCCCCCCTAATTATCTCCCTAATCAGAGTGGGTTTCTAAGGGTTCTTGTGACCAGCTATGTAAACACATGCCTAAAATACATATTCTTCACATAAAAATCCCTATGAAAAGCAGTTGCTTGAAAAGCTTAATAGCTACATTTTAAAGTTTCACCTCCTCAACTGTTTTACATTAAAAAATATATACAATTTCATGGACTACTGACTTGCCAAATATTCTTTTACAAACCCGATCCGCTTTTCTAATTAGAATAGCAAAAAGGATCTTAAACTAGCAATCATGTTTTGCTCCCAATTCAGAAAACAAATTTTTGTCTCGAATCATACATAATGTATGTGCTCTAACTTCTTTCCCCAAGCTCCAACACTTCTGTGAACAGAGGGTTATCTTAAATTGTATCCCGTGTCACTTGGATTTATGTTATAATACACCATCTACAATGAACATCAAGACACACAAGGAGCACAAGTGAGTATGCCAACATATGGAGGACACTTCAACACAAGAGCTTCTTTTTCAATCCTCTCTTCAAAGGAGAGGGTACGTTTTAAAATATGGATAAAATATGCAAAGTATGTTCTGCTAACCCGCTACAGCTCTCTCAGTAAACATTTTCCACAGGAGTTGAGAAGGTGAAAAATCAGTATATTGACACAAATGCAAAACCTTTGCAAGTCCATAAAAGTGTCAGGAGAATTTGCTTAAAACATCTTATAAAAATGGGAGAGAGATATAGTCCCAGCCTATTATTCAATAACCATGTTTGTGAGGCATCTGCATAATCTAACCATGCATAAATTAGTATGTGTATTACAACAGTTATTTGCATAATAATAGCAAGTTAATAGATGCTTAAAGAGCACAGACCAACACCACCTTTAAATCAGACATGCCTCCAGGCACTCTGATCTGTATAGACCAAGATGCAGAAAACAGTGTTCATAAAACATACAAAAACATAAAAACCACATTCAAATAATTCATTTTCGTCCCTGGACACTTCACTTTTCCCCTCTCTCCCAGGAAAGAATAATTTGAAGAACTACAGAATAATTTGTTACCATGAATTCTAACATTCATCTTGTAATACAAATTTGAAGTAATCATCAAACCTATTTCTGGATTGGTTGTTTTGTTCAGAGCTTCATGTTTTTTCAAGCATATGGACAAAGTAAAATACTACATGGTAATGCAGGCTCAGCATTGGCCTAACCATTGCCACTGAAGATGGAAATAGCTTTACCACCAACTTCAGCGAAACTGAGTTAGGTCAGTGGAAAGTTAGAAAATGCCAGTATCTAAATAAAATACTAATATTAGGTCCTCTTAAAAGGGAGGATCCAGAGCTCCCTCAAGTATTCCATTCACATTATTTTCTTGATTTGAGAAGATTTTAGACCCTTGTACTATTATTCAAAATTGGAATTAAGAATTAAAATATAAAAAAGGAGTAGCTACACCTTCCTGCTTCAAAAGCGCACTGTTGTACATACTGGATTATCTTCTAATCTCACAACAGAACAATCATTAACATAATCATAATTTTTATTGTCTCCAGGGAAAGAAAATCTAGAGTTTGGAGAGAAAAAAAAAAAATCAATAGAGACTTCTAAATGACTCCTTCAAGATACCACTTTTCAATTTAACAGGACAGATTTATTTGTATGTGGCTCAAATGTTCACAATTGCTCTCTGCACCTTCATACATAGGAATGAATGTCACAGTGGCAAACAGCAGTAATGAACAATCTTACCTGAGGATATGGAAACCTCCCAAGAGCAAGCTGGGAAAGGAAATAATATTTGTCTAGTTATATAGATTTGCATGGAGGGCACATTTTCTTAAAGAGAGAAAAGTACTCAACTCTTACTATTGTATAAATTGGAAAATGTCAGCAACAGTAATTCTGAAAACACACAAAGAGCTGTATTTAGAATGGAGTAATTCACAACAATTAGCCCTTGTTCTATGTTTCTGAATATTTCTGTATTTCTCAAGCTCTTTTGTCTGTACCACTCAGTAACACTGTTTGATGCCCAAGTTCCCGAGGACTCTCTAAATTAAACCAGTTCAGCCTCAATAGCGAGGCCAACGACACTGACCTTTACTGATAATTATCTGCAATGAACAGGTATCGCAGTGCATGCACTGAACTCCCAAAGTCTTTCCTTAACTAGCTCAGAGTAAAATCTGGGTTATATAGCTGATGTTTGCTTCCTTATCAGTGTCAAACCCAGCTAGGAACATGTCAATGGGATCTGGAGAGAGATCGTGGCACCCATAAGATGACACTTTTGTCTTTTTTTTTAGATCTACTTTCAAATACATAAGGTATCAATCGAGTTTGTTGCCCACACTGTTTTGTAAGTTAATCGATGCATTACTACAGTATCTGCTAGCAGCAGTATTATACCCAGCAACAACGCTACTGTTGCCATAATGCCATAGCAAATAAATATTCGATGATAAATTATTTGTACAACTTTAGGTTTTCCCATTTGGTATCTGAACCTTGGAAATTATTTCAGCAAATTACAATTGGTTTAAGTTATTTAGTCTATTATTCAGCGAAGGACAAGGGACTCCTTCAAAATGGCATCAGAGCAGCTCTGTTCCGACGTGCTTTCTGAGTAAGCCCACCTCTCTCCACAGTTTACAGAGAAGCCGTAGTCAGATGAGCTTCTCTACACTCAACTTAGCTTTCGTGAATCCTCCCCTTACCAACCTTCAGAAGGAGGTCTACCAAAAAGGTTAATGGATGCTCTACTATCATTGATTTGTCTGAATGATAAACTAGGTACATTCATATCAGACTCAGTAACAGCATCAATGCTGAAGGTCTAACCCATCGTGTCATGTACTACGAAGGCTGAAGCACACATCAGCACTGGGTGAAAGCTGTTTCATGGCACCTGTATAGCCACTGATATTTGAGCTCCGCAGTGCCGTGGTTACTTGACCTAGCCAGATTGCAGCTGAGGGAGCTGTGCTAACCTGCGATGAAATTTCAGCCTGGCTGGCAGCACAAAACTATCCTAAGTATGAACAATAAGGCATAGACAGACCTGTAGCAAGGTGGAGAACTGATGGGTCAAACACCAGTAGACATACTCAAGCCTCACCAGTTCAGGAGAAAGGTCACGAGAAGGTAATAAGAAGCTGACACCATGAGTGGAAGCAATGAGAAAACAGCAGAGATGGTGCCCTTTCTGCAATTCCAGCTGCTGTCCAAACCTCGTATCATACTAGCCATTTGGCTGTGAGCCTTAGCAAATACAGTCAACTTCTTCCAGATCCTCAGAGGGAAGACATTACAAAAGCAGAGTAGGTCTTGAAGCATTTGTATAAGAGACATATCCAAGAGAAACCCAAAGAGATGAAGCAATTTTTTTGGTGACTCTCTTAAAAGAAGCTTTTGCAATATTGAGATAGTATTTATCATGACAATCCACAGGCCTATTAAGGGCGTTCTAAAGGAGCTACTCGGTTTGTACAACATCTCTGAACACTTACTTACTGCACAGAGACATCATTGCTATAGGAACTGTATATCTAAACTTCCATGCATTACTGAAAATTCACCCCAATCTTTCCTAAATATCTCATCAGTGGGAATTTGCATAATGACTGAGGAGGAGGAGCCATTATGGTCTGCTCTGTCAGTATGGTGTTGACCAAGGATCCCTACTAGCAGTCACATATGTAGTTTTTCTGAGATGTTTCTACGTGCCACTGATCTCTCCAAAAGTTGTGATCTGCTAGTAGACTTCTGTTTGGAGATCGTTATGTTGGTTTGTAAGACCAACACCTACAGAATGTAGAAGAAATCAGGCTTACAAGAGACACTGGAAAAAGGATCATCATTAAGGTGACAAGCATGTAAGTAAGATCTCTTCAGGTCCTCCAAAGAGATACCATTTAACCTGTCTTCCTCCTCTGGGTTTCTTCTGTGCTTTGTCTTCCAGGTTTGCCTTTGAGACTCAGCAGTTTGGGGTGAATTCTGCCTTTCAGTTTTGTTTCTGGTGCAGTGCTGAAAACAGTGCTTCTCTCTGCAGCAAATCCATCCTCGTAACAAACCAACCTGAGCCAAGCAGGCCTCATTGCCATCCTTTCTATCCACTTGTGTCTGGTTCACAGCTTCTACCAGCTCAGTGTCACTCTCTGATGGCAGGCTTTGAAATACACTGCTAAATAGTTCAGCAAAGACCCTACATTTTCTGTTATGCTCACTCCTAGGGACCAGGAGCTACTAAAACATACCCTTTTTTCATTTTCTCTTCTTTTGGGAGGACCATCCTTAACTTCCAGCAAGCTGCTCAAGATTCTAGAAGCACTGTTACTCTGATAGCCTCTAAATGCCTAGAAATAAACCTGTAAATGTCAAACAGTCTTCCATGAACAGAAGTAAAACAAATCTTGATTTTTCCAACTGACTTAAGAATAGTCATTACAATAGCTACAGACTTCTAGGAATGTAATAGTTACCCCACTGTAGAACAAGAAGATAATTATGGCTATATACACAGGGCATCATTCTGCCGATTTTATTTAAGCAGAAAAAGGACCACTGCCCTGATGATGACTTCAAACTAAGCATTTCCATTCTCACTGACAATTCCTCTCCCTGACCTCCACATGCCTCAACAGGGCCTCCAAAGGCAGCAGAATAATTGGGGAAAGAGCAGTTTTCTGCCAGACATAAAGTACAGGGTGGAGAAATGAGCTTCAAGGAATCTGAAATGCATCAGGAACAAGTTCTTTGGGGTTGATAAAAAACAAGCACTTTTCTCAGTGAAGCTGCTCCTTGACTGAGAACTGCAAAGCAATACAGCCACGGACATGTGCCAGTTCTGCATCCCCAGAACCATCACTTGATTCATCTAGTCAGTTGTTTCCTCTCTGCAAGATTGTCAAGGTATTATAAATTAAGAAACTTACCAAAGAGTATGTAATCTTCCCTGAAATAGCCTGCAGATATGTCACTGTACTAAATGTGTTTCAGATTTAATGAAGCTTTAATGTCCTTTTTAATTTTGCCTGTTTCTATATCACCAGGGGTCGAGCAAGGCAATCAGCACTCAAGAGGGTGGTTTGGTTTAAAACTAGGAAAAACTCATTTGCTTATGAGTTGCACTGTATTTTCTTAATTAAATTTACTAAGTAAAATGGTTTAAGTTCAGCCAACCAATGACCTCTGTATGTAGATTTAGATTTATAAATAGTGTCACAGTTAAAGTAAAGAAAAAAAACCCAAAACAAACAGATTAGAGCTTCACTAAAGGGATTTTCATACTCTATCATCTGTCTCAAGGAAGTCATATAAATGCATGTAGCACAAGCCCAATGCAGGATACAAAAAAAAAATTTTAAACTACCAAACAAATACCCTATCAAAAACTTATCTCCTCTGCATTTACATGATGAAACATGGGGACTTGCAATTTTGTTTTTAAGGCATTACTAGTTAGTTTGGGAACTGATCAGTATTTTATGTAGCTCTGGATATTAAGGAGGGGAGAAGGAAATGCTTAAACTTCCAAGAAGCTGGTTCTTTTCATTTCCCTATGGATACCTTCCCACTACACAAGAACTGTAAAAACCATCATTTTAAAAAGGCCCAGTAAATTGCAATGCCAGCATGGTATGGAAATACAAATGAGAATCGGACTATATCAGCAAGAAATATGTCAGAATAACACTTTTCTACACCATTTAACTTGGGAGCAACTACATGTCTGTGTAAGGTGGTTTTTTTTTTTTGCGTGGGGAGAAGGATGTTAAAACTATGACTTTCTTAGACATAGAAGTAGACCATTAGAGCATTTAAAACACTCATCTTACGGTGTTCAGTGAGGTTGCACCCTGAAAAATTATGTGCACTTCCAAGTGCACCTGATAGGAGCCTTCCCCCAGACTTGGACAGAGGTGCCAATGGATGTACAGGGCACACCGTCAGATTTTAAACCAGTACTTGATAAACTGAGAAATAATTCCAGATTATTAAATACCAGGCAGAGGTACAGCATGCATGCATGTCGATTTTTATCAAACTATATCTAGAAACCCACAGGGGAAAGCAAAAAGAACCTGAGGCAGGTGGTTTTGGTAGAGGCAGTTGCCTAAACCGTCTGTACTGAGCAGCCATAAGAAGGGCTGGAAAGCAACTCTAACCTGTGTTCTAATACATACATTTAATGTGCAGATAAGTGCACTCTAAATTAAAATGACTTGCTGAAATAATGTAATTAACAATTTTGGAACTAAAAATGGAAAAGCAGAAATCCTCACTAACAAACTGTTTTCTCTACATCGCCCTTTACTTGCCTGCTGGTATACTGTTAATAAGAATTACAATAGTAACTTGGTCCATAACCTGTTCAGAAAGTGACTGAGGGAAGGAAGTTCAAAACATATTTTTAGGACACTCAGGCAATAAAGTCTCCCACTTAGATTATTGTCTATGTTGTGCAAGTTGTTTTTTAATTTACAGTTATACTGAAAAGCATGGGATGTTTTTACTCTTAATTTAGACACATTCCATGTTTCTCAGCATAACTGCAAATTGAAAATAAGCACTTACAATATCGCTAGTGATCTAGCTGAAGGAGGACTTTATAGTCTGAAATGTTCTAAAATTTGTTCTTAATTACCTTGTGCACATTTTACACAATTAAATTTCCATCTAAGGATTTTGCATTTAGATTGTGCACTGCAGTTAAACCCTCATTTTATGGAAAAGCAGCCGCCACTTTGGAACATTCAGACACAGGAAACTTTAAAAAT